TCCAACTTTTAGCTATGTAGTCTCAACTGATAAAGTCTCTGGCAATAATCTTCATTTCTAACCTAAGACAACTCGGAAGAGAAAATGAACAACCTTAAACTGAATTAATGGTAGTTTCTGCATTTTAGTGGCAAAATCAGAAATATTTTAATTCATTATGGTTGAAAAGAAATAAAAACATTCGATTGTTAATTTTATGAAGAGAAAATGTATTCAATACATGATAGATACACTGGAGTATTACAGGAACTAAGGATAACTGCCCAAACGTATTTCTAAAAATCTGAACTTATTTACATCTCACAGAGCTGATCCCTGTCCAAAGTCCCTTTGAAGCCACCAGGAATCCCACATGTCTATCAGCAAGGTAACAAGAACGAGGGTTTTCACAATTCTCTCTGGTTATGAAGATATGATGAAAATGGTTTTCTACACAGACATAGGGAAAACACACTGCATTTGCTCTCGTCTAAGACTGGAGGCAACTTTAGATATTGAGAGGACACTTTTGTCGTTTTTTTCCCCTCCAAAATCTATAAAATGTACATTTCACCATGATGACTATGCTCTTCCTTAAGTAATAAATATCTAGGATTCATTCTTTACTTTTTGTGTATCTAAATATAAATCTGCCCAGTTAAGGAATCTAATGCCTAGCTCGATTTTTTCTTTTTAACTCGACCGATTTTCAAGATGAACATTTCTTTTCTGGGACACTGAACCCGGCTTTAGTTATCAGGAGACACAGAACCTCGTGGTGAGAGATACTGCTGAGGTGTAATTAACATGCTCACCAACACTCTTGAGCAAGCTGAGATTTAAAGCTGAGAGCATCTCACGCTGAATTTCTATGTCTTTGATTTTGACTGGGATAATAGGAATAAATTCTCCCTGAATGAGAAGGGAAGGAAGGGGAGTAGCAGAAAAGACAAGAGTGATGGCAACAGCTAAAGAAGCAGACTGTGGAAGAGGCACGGAGCACACATTTCCGAGATGGTAATGGCCCGGAGCACAGCAATCGGCTGGCAGCCCATTACAGGGAGGAGAGATGGAAAACACTAAATACGTGGAACAGAGGCTGGGTCGTTTTGTAGACAATTTTTTCTTTTTTTTTTTTTTTGTCGGATTGTTGAGGGACGTTAAGTGAGAAATGTCAAGGTGAGGAAAAGACTGGAAAAGTACAGTGTGTTGCAGTGAGATGGCTGGGAACTGCCAGTCGACGGCCAGCTCGGGCTGATACAAAGTCACAGGGAGACAAGGAGGGACTCTCCACTTCATTCTCCCGAAATGAGGGCAAGACAACCGGCGACTGAGAAATACTCGTAGTGAAAGGCGAACTATTATTCTCTGAAACGGAACTCCATTATTAACTATAGTTAATAATGCTGGATTGTATTATTGAAAGTTGCTGAGAGAGTAGTTCTCATCACAAGAAAAAAACGTCTTTGTAACTATGTGTGATGACGAATGTTAACCAGACCCATGGTGATCATTTCTCAACATACACAAATACTGAATCATTATTTTGTACGCCTGAAATTAATACACTGTTAGATGTCAATTATACTTCAAAAAAAAAAAAAAAGAACTCCAGCAGAGTATGATCTAATGACCCCTTTCTGAAGTCTATACCTTTAGAGTCAGTAGTTTATCAACTCATCTCACGGGGAAATGGTGGCATGCTAATGATAAAGGTCAGAGTCTCACACAGCCCAAAACCTGTGCCCTGGTGATCTCTTGGTGACGGTTCTAGAAGCACTACCAGCCCCCTTCCACAGACTCTTCTACTTTGGTCTTGAGTTACCATGTTAAGTAAACCCAGTGAATTGGCTAAAATAATAAATTCATGGGTCATCTTATGACATCATCATTCTCAATGTCTTAATGACCAAATTTTATTTACTGTGCAGTCATTTATCTTGTCAACCACCAGCCATTACCATGGTCTCCAAATTCGAAGGTCTAAAAAGATTTACAGATGCAATTTCTCTGACATTTGAAATCCCCGTGTTTAAGGATTGCATCATTTACCCATTGACTCTTTTTGCCGTAGTCGAATCAACTATGAGTATAAAAACATGATGTACTTCTAAGCACATATAACACAGACAATTCTTCTAATTCACTGCACTAAATTTAAATACTACTTAGTTATAAAATAACACCTGCTTTCATCTGAAAGGTCACAAACATAACATTTGAGATATAACACAATAGATTATCCATAACTCAGTTGATTTAAAATATGTCATAAAGTACATAAGTATCATAATGTCTAGATTAATTGAATGTACGTTCCAAATATCTTGATCTCATTTACTCCCAGTAAGAGTCTTGAATTGTAGATAGCATTATTCCCATTTTAGAGTTGAGGAAGCAACTTGCCCAAAGTTATACAACTAGTAGAAAGTAGTAGCAATAAAACTGAAGTGTATTTGACACACACTGGACTTACCCATTATGTGATCAAATGAAGCCATCAGGTTTATCAAGGTCATCATTTGTATTTTCCGAATTACCTAAATAGCCAGATTTTGCCAGAAAGAGTAGGAGCATGGCCATCTAACTAGTATAGGTTAAATATACGTCTGTGAAAAGTGACAATTACCTTCCTTATTTCTTCCCACGATGACCTGCCTATTCATTTTTCCACATCTTCATCTCTAATTTTTAGTTATCTCTGTTATAAAAGCTTCTGGTCATGGTCATTATCTCCCTCAACTTGGAAAAGAAAACATATGCATTTCACACACCCAAATGAATGCACCAAGGTCAAAGTCCTTCTCATACCTCTGCCCATCAACCTAGAAAGAGTCACTGTGTCATCTCCCACATACAATCTAAAGCCTCAGGTTCTCTGCCACCTCTTCCCAAGCAAACACGACGGGTCCTTTAAGGCCTTTCATTTGTCTCTCTAGTCTATAAATTCTCTCTCCATCTCAAATTATTTTACTGACTTTTTTCTGTATTTTAGTCACTTAAGGGTTTTTTTTTTAATGCATTTACCTCTTGAACATTTTACTGTGAGCTTCTGTGTTGAACTCCCAATATCCAGAATGCAAGACAAAAACACAGACTTGTTTCCTGTCATATAAAATCAGCCAAGTGATTGTCTCTGATAAATTGAAAGGGAAGCACGGAATATTTCTTGTTACCTAATCAAGGTACCACACAATTTCTCTTATGAAAATAGTAACAGCACTGCTCAGCAGTTTCCTGTACTTTTGGAATTTAAGCGTTCTTAGGGATATGTATTTGCATAATTTTAAATTGACTTATAGGGTGTAGTTGCATATAAACATTCCGAATTGTGAAGACTGTAAAATTTAAAAGGGTTTTTTAAAATTTTTAAATCACGTTTATTTCAAAATGTCAACCTCACTCAGGCAATTCCATTTAAAACTAAATTAATGAGAATATTTCAGTTGTCTTCAGAAAATTTTACATTCTGAGAAAAACATGATTTCACCTAACGACTACTGAGTCTTCCTGAATGAGTTGAATATCAGAGACCTGTCCGTTTAAAAAAGTTTGATGAATGTATTAAACGTTCACTAAAAAAGAATAAAATTGAGAGCTAGATTCTTAGTTAGCAACACTGCATAATGGTCACTGCTATCACTTTGTTTATAAGAAAACAAAGAAGAGAAATTGAGAAAGAAATTCAGTACATTTGCTGTGTATATGATGGTACTATTTATAAAAGTTAAATGGCTATGAAAAAATACATATGCACACAAACACTTGTGTACTTATCTTTTCATAGTGCAGAAAAATGCTGACTGGTCTAAAAAAAAAAGGCCTACTCCACATCCCTAGAAACCTTGAATTTATTCAAACACTTTTGTTTACAATAAATGTCTGTCGGTATTTGTAAACTATAGAGGCGATAAATGAAAATAATAAATATAATAAAGATTACCTTGATTCGTGCAGACACTCATCAACCCTTACTGGTGTTCGAATGAAAACATAACGCATGAAATAAACAGCAGAGATTCTTCGTCAATCATTCACAATTGAAAAGTCACTCGCGGATAAATTCATCGGGAACAGACACATAAAACTGACAAAGCGAAAAGTAACATGCAGAAGTATAGATTTCTCGTCAACGCACTCTCTTTAGAAGCATTCACCAGTGCTCATCACCAAACTGAGAAGTTCAGGAAATCTTTAAGATTATGAAAATATAATTCATAAAATTATGAAAATACGGAGCTACGACACGAGGATATCAGGGGAAACGCCACGCATCCTGAATGCACTCAAAAGAAATTTCCTCCCCAAATATTCAGACAAAAAGAAGCTGTGGGCGGTGGCGGGGGGGGGTAGCGGGGAGCTCAATTCGGCTTCACTCAGCCACCAAAGCAGACCACGAACCGCTCACCACTGGTCTACTATCACTTCTAACTGACTTCTGCTTAAATTCGTTTTTAACCAAAAGGAAATTTTTAAAAGCAAATGAAAACACCGTCCATCAAAATAAGACCATCGCTAGGAAAAGTAGGTTTGGCTTGCTCATAATTCAGAGATGACAGGCTCAATAATTTCATTTTTCACTTTTTAAACTGCAAGAGTCAGGGAAGGATATATAAGCTTATAAAGTTAGTATGGGGCACTGTTTACATCGTACCTCTCCAAAAGAAGCTAAAAAGTCACCTGATTATAAGAACCCGCCACTCTTCATTTCTTAGTGGATATTCTTGCTCTAATCTTGGAAATGGTTTTACTAGGGAGCCGCAACCGCGGTACAGCGGGCATCGGTAGAATCCTCGGTTTCTAGAAATAAAGCACCACTCCCTAAGCTATGGCTTCGCCGTAGAAACAATGCTCGTATTACCATTTCAGGGTGGCCGACCAACACCAAAAACGTCAGAAACCATTTCATAGGAGTGATGGTTTCCTGTTTTCCATTCCCAAAGCAAAAAATCAGCAGCTCTCCATCCAACCACAGGCATTCACAAGAATCGTTCGCGACCTCAAAAGGCCATGTGCCCTACCTTTCCTACATAGAGAGGGTCTGAACCCATGTACTCCTCCAGCACAAAGAACTGGTTCCACACCCAGCTGCGCTTGGTCCGGGGCCTCCCTGATGGGAAGTAGGGCTTTGATCTGGACCTTGAGAGTTCCGCTTGACTCATCCCAGAAAAGCACAGGAAAAGAGCGATTAGCTGCAGCAAATGGCAGAGCTCCGCTTTGCCCAACTTCATCTTTTTTTTTTTTTTCTTTCTTTTCCCTGTGTAAGAAAAAAACCTTGACAACAGAAAAGGCACAGTTCCAGTTGGCTTAGCAGCTCTTGCCTCCGGCAGGGTGTCAGCTGGGAGTCCAGAGATGATAATTTGTAGAGTCTTCGATCGGAATAGGTCACCACTGGGGGACAGCCTTCGCCAAAGAATGGTGTGAGGGGTGCCTGTCGGAGCAGAGAGGGGAAACTAGTGTCAGAAACCAAAACACATAACTTTTAACTTCCATTGATGAACTCCACATTGATTGTCCCAAGATAGTTATTTGTATAATCGTTAAAATAAAAATGACAGAAATTTTCAATAACGGTTGCCATATCTGTCAGTTGCATAAACACTGCTGATGCGGAATCATTCGCATACATAAGACAACCTGAAAATCTCGTGTTTCTTGTAGGGCAGTCTATTTGAACATATGGTTTATTGAATACAAATGGAGCAACATCAGTTAAAAAATCATTCTGATGCTAGCCTTTATTTTATTTTTTATATTACAGTTCCATTCATTGGTGTGAGACTAGGAAAGCAAAGCAGCTCAAAGCAGGGTTTGAAGCCAACGTACAGGACATATGCTGGTTTCAATCTCTCCTGTGAAACTGTAAAGAGAAACAGGGAAGGATGAGGTGCTTCAACACCGGTTGACTGATTCTGAGTCACAGCACACCAGCTGTTTTGATGTGTTCTGATTTGATTGTGATCAGCTGAAAAGCTCAGTCGTTTCCATTTTCCACCCTTCAGACTTATTGTCATGGATGCTGTGTAGCAACCTGGGTTAAGCTATCGCACTGCAGTTCTTTGTGATTCCAGTTACCTAGTGAGCATCTCCCAGCGTGGCTCATGAATACTGGGCCTTCTCCCGTAAACACTTAAGGGACTGGATCACACTGACCATCAGAGGGCCGAGGAAACTCAACTCTATTTGTAAGCTCCGTCATTGTTGGCATGCAGCCAGCAGGTGCTTTAACAGCAACGCGGAAAAAGGAAAACGTTCTGATGTCTAGATTATTATTTCAGTTACAGAATTCTGAATATGTAAGAGATAAAAAACCAGTTATAAAACAAACTTCCAAACACCCAAAACACAGAGGAATGAGAATTTATGACAAACTGCTCACTTAAATCACTATGCTGCACTTTGGTTTATGAATTCATTTGACTACCTATAAATAAATCAACAATAGAATAATTGAGGTGAAGGATTAACATTTGCTTTTTCTGAGGGAGAGGAGAAAAATAGTTTTAAGAACATAAAGCCAAAAGATAGCTCTCTATCAAGGCAGAAAATACACTATATAAGCTTTCCCATCTTTCTACCTGTCTCTTTGGTAACATGAATGTCTGTTACTCAGATGATTTCTGACAGTCAAATTGCTTATGGAAAATGCCATATATAGTAGAAAAACGGTGAAATTTATCAAATATGTTAAAATAGCCCACACAACTGGAAGGAACAGGTTGCATCAACTTTGAGCTCTATTCAAATGAACATATCTGTGTTACAGAGAGCTCTATAGTGTTTTGAAATCCCAGAGGGTATTGCACAATCCAGTGTACAGCTACCTGATGTATGCTGAGAACCACCAGAACAGGCCAACTATTACTGGAGCATACTAACTGCAGTCTGTGCACTGAATACATTCTCCCAAAATCCAGGTCTCCCATCTAAGGAGCAAAAAGGAACTTGGTCCATTGGAAAATCACTCTAGGGAGAACTAGTTGTTCCAGACTCAGAATTATCAACAGAAGAAACTTAGGGTCATGTATTGATATTCCAACATCAATGAGGCCCTTCAATGAGGTTGTAAGTTCACACAGCGAGGTCTGGACTAACCCACTTAATGGAGTGACGGAAGGTAAGAGGGTGCTGACACCAGGCAATGGCGCACTGGTGTATGGGATTGTCTGTGATGAGCCAGAAATCACAGCCAGGTACTCGTGGTGAGTGGCCTTAGGTAGGAACAGCTGTCAGCACGCCAAGAAGCATGGTGATGCTAGAGACAAACCAGGTTTCTGGGGACCTGGGTTAGAGTTTTAGTGACAGGACTGAGACTAGCATGTGAAACCTGAGGCCAAAACACATTTCCAGTATCACCTCTCTCCTTTCTCAAGAGAGAATGAATGTTCTCAGAAAAACAAGGACATAAATACTTTCAACCTAAGGCTCAATTTAAAAAAAAAAAAAAAATGGGATATGGCGACATTATTTTAGGCTACTTTCTAGATTGAGTGAATTTGTCTCAGTGTGAAAATGTATCTGACGTCTTAAAAACTAGGTAGCAAATGAACTTTTGGAATCTCAAATTTAGGGAGTTCTAAGTACTCACTGGTAAAGACTGGGCGTCAGAGAAAGGCTCAAGTTCTGAGTCGGTCATGTCTTTGCTATGCGACCTTGGACAGGTCATTCAAATTCCAAGAGGGCAAAGAGAGAAAGCAGAGAGAAAGCCTCAAGCCTCTCACTTATAAAATGAGAGTAATTGCGTCTACTTCATAGGATTAAATAAGCAAAACATGAAAAGCGAAGGATAGTGCTCAGCCCAACTAAAAGCAATAAAAAACAAATAGCTGTTGGGATGATTATTATGATTTTTTAATTTAGTTTGATACTATTTATGTTAACATACTTTGTGTGTGAAGTGATAGTAGTTTTCATTTCGATGTTCCTATAGTAAAATGTTTTAGACAACTCTTACACTAAATGAAAAGATTCTTGATAGTTCCAGTCAGTGCCAGAGAGCTATATGGATCATGAACCAAAAAACTAAGATGGATACAATTGCACCAAAATCCTTAAAGAGAGAGAGAGAGAGAGAGAGAGAGAGAGAGAGAGAATTGGAGTCAAAGAACAGAGAGGAGAGAGAGAGAGAGAGAGAGAGAGAGAGAGAATATAATACTTTCTTTCCTAAAGGCATGTCTTCTGTAATTTTTATAAGTCAAAGACTGGTATCAGAATTGGATAAATCTATTTCAGCTCTCTTGGGATGTTTATTGATAAGAAAGAAAAGAAAGAGAATCTGAACAGGGACCAGGACCACTGGGATCGTTGTCCTAAAACCGCCACCATCTTCTGTGTGACCCCGGATCTCTCTGGGATTTAATTTTTTGCATTTGCAAAAGAGGAGCTGAATTAAATTACCTCACAAAGTCTGTTTTTTCCAGGACTTTTCTGCCTTTGACAATTATGTAAAATTGATTTTATTGGTTTTTAAGCTATGAAAAAGTGCATATTGTTAATAAAGATAAAAGGTAGAGAGATTTTAAAAAGCCATAGGAGTGTAAAGGATGCATTTGGCATATTTACAAAATTTATCATGAATTTTAACATGAGATGCTTAAATTACTCTTCTTGCTTCTTGAAAACTGTCTGCCACACAACAAGATGATGGCTTTATCAAACCAGCTAGACTATATAAAACGAGTTAGTTCAGAGCATGCCATGGATTACCTTACAGTCATTGAGATAATATTTGTGAAGGAAAGATTCCTAGAACTCCGTACTTCCCTGTTTAAATCAAGGGTTTTAAAAGCAGCTGGCAGTAAAGTAAATCTTGGTGAACAGGGATGTCTACTATATTTTCATATCATAGTATCTAGAACAGAAGCGGACACATAATTGGCATTCAGAAAATATTTATGAAATGTTTGTTTTCATTATAATTAACTTCACTTTTTAAAGATGGAACATTAACCATGTACTAAGTTACTCTGTAAACTCCTTTGTAACTCTACTGTGTTTATGAGTCAAAGTCACTCAGAGTGATTCCTCTGTAGTTCTCTATGGTATTTGATGTATTTGCCACGCTCCAGCCAAATGTCCTTCACCTTTCTTGAAGGTCTGTAAGACTGTACGAGGAGACTTTGCCTGGCTGTGTACGTTACTGGAGAATGGAATGCTCTTCTATGAGACAGACAAATGTCTTTATAACACCCTTCGTGAAGTGCACCTATAGAACTGGGGAATGACGTGCGAATGCCTGCGACAGGAGGCAGGGTGTTTCATAATGAATATTCATCAATATTTTTGGTAGCTACTGACTTTACTGGGGATATATACCCAATATGGCAGGGGAAAAGTCGTCTGGTTACAGGTCAGGTGTCTCTTTTCTTCATCGGTCTTCCACAAACCTTTCCCTTCTCTTTCAATCAAATCTGGTTTTTAAGGTCAAGGCCAGTACGACAGCTCAATCCAACTCATCCTGTCCCATGTTGGGATATCAGGAAAGAAATGAAGGACCCCGAACCATTCTGAAAAACATTCAGTTATCTGTGGTCATCAAACAGAAGTAACTAAAACTTGAACTTAATTTCCTGTTGCGTAACTTCTCCAAGCAGAATTTCTATCTTCCCACATATGTTAACACACATAAAGGTAGCACAATAACATTTTTCCTTATAAATGAACTGTAGCACAATCGCGATTGATTTTTCACAATGGGTTAAACATCGCTTTGCAAAACTGTGCCCTAAAGCGAAGTCCTGCACCCTTCCTTCTTAGACTTCCATATTGTTTATCTTCTCCCTTTCTTCAGCTTCCTCTCTGCGTTTCATAAGACAGCCATCAACAAGAGGCAGGTCACAACAGAAACAAGCGACCTCTGCACCCAAGCCGTGTTGTGTGTCATCTTGTCTTCTGTGGGCAAGCTTAGGAGAGTGACCTTCTGGAGGTCTGGAGAGCTGATCTGTTCACCATTACTAGCTCATCAAGAAAGACAGTGCAGAGAAATGATGTATGGTGTGCAGTTTAGGTAACTTCTATGGATGTGTCAACTTCTGGACAGTTACAAATGTGTAGCATCATAACTTTGAGGAGGAAAGCAACAGGAATAGGTTATATCTAAGAACTGAATGGGGCCAACCACAGATGTTTGAAAGAGTTGTGGCGATGGCTAATGAACTAACAATTAACCTCCCAATTTTTTTTTTTTTTTAATCTAAGAATGAAAATGTGTTCCTTCGGTCTGCTAAAATATTTTTTTTTTTAATGTAGAACATTTGATTTTTTTTCAGAGTAAAAATATATAAATATCACAAGTAATACTTGTGATCAGCATAACACGCCTTAAAAGAATATAAAATAAAACCTAGCAAAGGAAATTTTAAATGGATTGAAGGAAAAAGGAAAAAAAGAGGGGAGAGTGAGAAGTAGTCAAGCAGCATTT